AGCAGTTACCACGCTGCGATCTGTTGAGACTCAGCCCTATGTTTGGGGATTCGTCTTGTAGGTTAGACGAGACAAAATGTTAACAAGAAATTATATAGAGAGAAGAAAATTATAAAGAGAGAAAAAAGCGGAGAGAAAGAGAAAAGAGGCGCAAGAGAAAGAAAAATATACATCCAACCAAAAAACGTACAACAATGTGTATACGCGTGGTAATATAATGTACATTATGTACCGTGTAACATACGTACAACTCATGAATGTATTTATATATATATAAAAGAAAAAAATATTATATATATTATATATATAATATTATTAAAAAAATTTTTTTTTTAAATTTCAGAAAGCAATTCGCCGCTGGGACATTGAAAGAGCGTTCGCGATGCAACACAATATGCCACTGGGACATTAAAAGAGCGTTCGCGATGCAAAACAATACGCCGCTAGTAGAGATCGAATTTACTAAACGCAAGAAAGCGGGGCGAACCGACATGACCAGGAACTTGAATCCAAACGACAAGATGGCGTCGAAGCGACGTGACTTGGGAGAATGTCCCGGGAAAATATCCTGCCGAACTATAGGATAGCACCAAAATGATGTAATCGGGCAAATCGAAACGGATGCACCGAAACGATATGACCGGGAATTAAACCGAAAAATCGATGTTATTCGAAAATTAAAAAAATACAGAAAAATACAGTAATATTGAATCGTAACATATGGGATAGGAGTATTGGGAAAAAACGAAAGAAATGTAATTATAATAATATAATGTAATTAATAAAAATAATGAAAATATTTATAATGATAACAAATCTCAATAGAAAATAGAGTTGTAAAAAAAAAAGAAGAAAAGAAAAAAAATGAATATAAATATTTATAAATATTTATGACAAATATAAAATATAAAATAAATATAATATTTATTTATATTTTATAATATTTATTAAATTAATATAATAAAATAAAATAATTGTATTGATTAAAATATTATGCACGAGTACATGTTTCTATTTAAAAAAAGGAAAAAAATGAAAGAACAAGAATAGAGACAAAAAAAATGAAGAAACAAAAAGAAGAAAAAAAAACTGATAAAAATAAAAATAATAATAGCAATAGTAATAATAATAATAATAATAATAATAACAGTAACAATAATAGTAATAAACAAATTTTTAAGGCCAGCAACAAAGAACGTACATGAAGAATGATAAATAAGTAGATATGAGTTTCTTGGAAATTATAATTCAATGGAGATATATATTGCGGGGAAAAGATTTAATCGGAGAAGTTGGAGAGATACGAATCAAACGGCGACCTGACCGGGGAAATCGGAGCGATATGTATAAAACGAATCGACCTATCCGGGGAAATCAAAGAGATACGTATAGAATAGGCAAATCGATCTGACTGAAGAAATCTGAGCGATCCGGGCGAACCGATCTCATCAGGGAAGTCGGAGCGATACATATAGAACGGGCGAACCGATTTGATCGGGGGATTGCGCGTACCAAACCGACATGATTCGGGTATTTTTTTCTTAATTTCTCGAAAAATAATATTTTTATTTATTATAATTTGTGCGTTTTTTCATTAATCAATTTACATTTATTTTTTTTCCCCCAATTTTTTATATTGTTAATTTTTTTTTTCATTTAAAATTGATTTTTCGTAACTCTCCTTATCGACGAAAAAAAAATTTAATTTTTTTATAAAAATATATTATTGATCTTTGATTCATGTCGTTCTGTTAATATATTTTTAATTTTTTTTATCAGTTTGTATAATGATAAATCGTCAATCGAAATTTAAGTCCAATTTCAGGTCCTATCTTCCGATCTGTCGCTACAGCGGTTTTGCACCATTAGCGACCATACATTAGCTAGTTCGGTGCCGACATGATGGCCAACCATTCGGCTACTGTAAGAGAAGCGACGGTCCGATTCGGCCGGACGGAGTAGCGTCGGGCGTGTCGCTATTCTATGACCTCGATCGAGATACAGTTCACCTCTTCTAGGGAAATATATTCTCGATGATTTCTGTCCTTTCCTACCGATCTTTTTCCACACTGTAGAATCGCGG